GTATCCTGTTCTCTTCATTCTCCCTTGCTCCCAAAGGGATGAGACCAGTGGAGTATCTTAGATGGCCATTCACAGGCTTTTAAGACCCCAGACGCCACTCACCAAGGTAGAATGTAGAACATTGTCTTTATATCCTGGGTTAATTCTTAACATCGATTTTAATCTTACAGAGATTATCACAGTGCCTCACAAAATTTGCTTTTAAATTTTGGTACTGTACACATAGATTTAGTGAAAGCTGTTCTCCTGGCCTCTTTGAGTCAGTCCACATTAAGTGAATTTTCCTAATAACTAAGTTTAAGTGTCTACATTTGAGGGTAATGGAATTAAAAGAGCAAGGGATTTAAAAAAAACAAAAACAGGATCTAGAAATTGATCCTGGATCTGGGTCCTGGTTCCACCTTTTATTATTTAACACTGGATGAGTTACTATGGAGTTCTAAGTTAGGAGTCTAAGATTCCTTATCTATAAAATGTGTACAATAGTATCTCCCTTACAAGGATTGCTGTGAAGATTAAATTAGATGATATAAAGTACTTTGCAAACTGAAAGCATTACACAATTATCATTAACTATATTTAAAGGAAATCTTTCTAGATTATGTTACCTCCCCTCCTTCTTTCATAAATAAGCATACTGAATAACCATTTTTTTCCATGACCAACAATTAATGTAGTTGTCACAATACACTATTTAAGCTATATCTTCCTTTGTTGTCATATAATCCACTTTTGTTGTTGGCAGCCTGTTCCCTTCAGATTTGCATTTCTTAATCTGCTATAGTTAGAGAATCAAGGTAATTAGAACTATGTATATTAAGAATCAATATGCTCTAAACGATGACTCAAGGGCTTCTTTCAAGAAGTAAAGTACAAAAGTCTAAATGTAAGGATTTTGCCCCAAAACATTTTTTATTTCTTTCTGGTTTCGGCCATAGATAGCTGAGGGGACCAGCAACAAGACTTCCAGGTAAGTAGGGCACTAGTCTGGGAATATAAGCCCTCAATCACTTAGAAAGTCTATTTGGTTGTTCAAGGACGGAATCTATACTGCTTTAAAAGTTATTACTCTTTTCAGTTTAATCCCAGACCAGAAGGCTAAACATGTCAAGGTCTATCAACTTACATTAGATATACAGTATGACACAGGAGTATTATCATTAAATGGCAAAATTCTTATTCTGCTTCCTAGTTCTTATATCCACATTTCCTGGAAAATTTTTAGCACTAAGTCACAGATATAATGAGCAAAGACAATCAAATATACCAATAAGAAAAACTCTTTAGTATCAGGCTTCTTTTAATAACGACTGCTCCCAATATCATTAAACCTTTGAATTGGGTTAAAAAATAAACATTTAAAACATTATATAAGTTAAGCATTTTCTAAAATCAATATGCTACTACTAAAAAAAAAAAAATTATTTGGCATTACCCATTTCAAAAGCGCTCAATCGAACAACTTTGTCCCCAACCTTTTATTATGAAAAATTCAAACACACAGAAAAATTTATTAAACAGCTTTTAAAATTGTGACAAGAACTGTTACTGTACGTTATTTATGCCTGCAGACTTCTAAATAGAACTGTTCTTTTGCATATCCTCAGTAGAATCTACTCTTGATTGTTAGAGGGTGAATATGATTTTTACAAAGAGTTAAAAATAATTCAGAACCTTTTCTGAAGAATAATAATTATTTAGTCACACTTCCATAAAAACCACTTCCATTATTTTATGCATATAAAGCATTTGACACAGTGCCTGGCACAGAGTAAGAAGTATTTAATAAATGTTAGCTGCTACTATTAGATATCAGTAGCTATATTTCAAAAGGCTAGTTGAATCTGACAAAGTTAAAACTTTAGTTAACATCTATCCTTTTGATTTACAAGACTAGTTATATTTTTTGAAACCAAAAAAAAAACTAAATATGCTGAGTATAATAATCACTAAATTGAGACTAGAAAGAACTGTCAGCACTGGCATAATCTGTTAAACTGTTGTGCAGCCTTATAAGGCACCTTTATTATATGTAGTACCTACTCAAATTCATCCTAATTCCTACAGCAGTTTGGAAGAATTCAAAGAGACTATATACTTGAGTACCTTACTGAAAACCAAGGAGCATAATGGTCCTCTTCTTTCCTCGATTATTCCAAAATGCCTAAGAACTGATTTCAGTTATAACCTCATTTCTCTCCACTCTTCCTTGGAATGCATTATCTGCATTCATACTTATTAGTTATATATCTTTAAAGTCACAGCAAAAGTATGAAACATTACCTGGCATCTAGAAGCAGAAATACCTCTAATGTAGGTGTAGGAAGGCTGTGTGGCACAGTGCGAAGGGCATAGATTTAAAAACATGCCAACTTGAATTTTAATCAGGACTCCACCATTTACTAGCAGTGTCACCCTCAGCAAGTTACTTCTTTGAACCTCGGTTTCCTTATCTGTATATAAATGGGGATAATAGTAGCTACCTTACAGGGTTGTTGAGAAAATTCAATGAAAACATATGTAAAATGTCTGACACACATATAAATGGTAACTATTCTTAATGCCAAATTTTCATTCTATTTTAGAGCTGTGGACAAATCATATTCCCCACTTGTAAGTTTACAAACCCTAAAGTTATAAAGGTATTATACCTCTTTCAACTTAAAACTGAAATAGAAGTAACACGAGTACTCAGTACACATAACCAGAATTTCAGATGAGTTGAGACTTTCCCGATTTCTTTTCAGAATTTGTTTTTAAAAATAGAAGTACTAAATTAGCTGTGATTTCTTATTTTCAAAGGTCAAAAGCAGAAACTTGCTTTTCCATAACAGTATTGATTCTCTCACTGTTGAATTAAGATGTATGGTATTTATGCTTGCAGGCTTCTAAACGGGTATTTTAGAGAAGTTATTTCTGCCATAAGAATGGCTTCTCAGGGTAAAAAAAAAAAAGATGATTTGCTCAAATTAGAAAATACCGAAAACTCTGAAGAAAAAAACTTAGTCAAAATTACACACTAAATGGCAAGACAGCTAAAATAAATGGTTCTTTTCCTGGAATCAGGCTAATCTGGACTTCAATGTTTTTTTCTAAGAAAATAATTAAATGGCCAAACCAACACTTCAAAATCCAATTCACAGCACATAATTTTTGTTTCCTTCTGTTTATTTATTTATTTTACCATGAAAAGCCATGGTTTGAAGCAGTCGATCAGCCACCTCCTGTGGGAATACTCCAGGTTCCTGCAGACACAATGTTCCATCTTGTCTAGCTGAACAGAACTTCTCGAGGTGAGTGGTCAGGAAATTCAAGCAGATATCAAGTAAGGAATAGGGAGATGCTTCCTCCTTAAAGCCCGGGAAGAAACACAAAGAAAACACGAAGGTCAACAGTTAGTTTCCATAAAAGCACAGAACAAAACATTAATTTATTTATTCAACACATATTTATTGAATGTCTACCATATGCAGATACTGTGTTGGGCAGTGGGAATACAATATGTGGCCCATGTACTTTAAAGCAGGCGAAGACAAACATTTAAATAAGTATTTGCATACAGTCTATTAAGTACTATGATAGAGGGCATATTGGGTACTATGTAACACATAGCAGGGGGCCCTAACCAGTTAGGGATGGTCAAGCAAGACAACAGAGGCATAGAGATTAAACTTCCTAAATTATGACCCATGGTCCTCCTCTACCCAAACTTTCCACTGGGCTCCCACTGGCCTGAAGACAAAATACTCAAAACTGTTACAATGATGTCTAAGTCCTTCCAAAATCTAGCCCCAATTTACTTTTCAACTTGGTCTCCCGCAAAATCTCCATTCCAACCTGATGGTTCAAATTCAATAAATTTATCTTTGGATAAAATAACTTGGTATAAAAACCCAAAAAACCAAATTCATTCTCTCGAGTTGATTCCAACTCATAGTGACCCTATAGGACAGAGTAGAACTGCTCCATAGAGTTTCCAAGGACCACCTGGTGGATTCAAACTGCCGACCGTTTGGTTAGCAGCCATAGCTCTTAACCACTATGCCCAGTTTGATCCAGTTATTCCCGTCTGAGGAATAAAGAGCTAATAAGCACAAATATTTAAGTATAGGGGTTTTAATTACAGAAATAAGCAATCTAAATGTCACCAACAATAATATAATTATACTAGCTACCATCCATTAGGTGCTTTCTGTATTACTGTGCTCAGTATTTTATATGAATTATTTGTTTCATTTACTACTTACACCTATTTAACAAAATAGTCAAGCATTATCTGTATTTTGCATATGTGAAAAAAGAGGCTAAGAAAAGTAACAATTTTCTCAGCATTCCATACACAAAAATGGCAGTGTGGTTTCAAAATAAGAACAGACTCAAGAGTCCAACTCTTAACCTCCATCATACTGCACATGTGACATTTCAATGGCTGAATAAATATGCAGCCATTAAAAGTTATATTTCAAAGAAATATTAATCACATAGAAAATAGTCAAAATAGAGGCACGGCCAAGATGGCAGAGTAGTCACATGCTTCCAGTGGTCCGTCCCTCTTAAATCAAAGACCCGTAAAAAACAAGTGGATCGATTATATATGACAATCTAGGAGCCCTGTACATCAAAGGCAAAGTTGAGGAATCGGATTGAGTGGCGGGGGGCGGAAGCAGCAAGAAGTTGCCAGACCTGACCCGGTGGGAGCTGGAGCCCTTCAGCCTGATCAGCTCTGGGGAGAGCAGTCAGGCAGGCAAGCAGCAGTGCTCGGGAGCCATTTTTCACACTGGGACAGACTCAGCGGCACAGAGTCTACTCAGCCACCCAGAACCAGTGAGAAGCAGCCCTCGATTGGCGAATGATAAGTATTTGCGTCTGGCCTACCGCACAGATCAAAAACACCCCCCCTTAGGAAAACACCTCTCTCCCATTTACCTCCCCGCTCCCTGCTCTGCACTGGGTCCCAGACCGGCTTCAGCAATTGCCAAGTCTCCTAGCCCGGAAGTAGGACTCGTCACATGCCCTGAGCCATTTTCCCAACCTTGGAGACGGAACAAATTAACAAACGGGGGAAAAATAATCAGCTGGCTCCCCTAAGCCGTCAGCCTGCTGCCATGCTTAGCGTGTGCTCCCCTGCAGCAGCCAGATGCCTGTGCCTACACCAATCACCCATGCCTGTCTAGGACTCTAGGTGAAAGCCTGCACTACACACTTGGTGGCTGACTACTGGACACCTGAGCTAAATCCATACAGGAGGAGTGGGCGGACTCCTGGGCTCACATACTTAGGGACAGGTCTGGCCACCTGTGGCAGCAAGCTGGAGCTTCAGGGGCACTGTTGATCAGGCAAGCTCACACGAGCAGCCTATTCGGGCATATCAAAACAAGAAGCTAGGACACAGTAAGCAAACATAAAAAAAATAAATATAATAACTTATTGATGGCTCAGAGACAACAGTCAATATCAAGTCACATAAAGAGGCAAACCATGATGGCTTCAGCAAGCTCCCAAACAAAGAATCTAAAAATTTTCCGGAGGAAGAAAATCTCTTGGAATTACTGGAGGCAGAATACGAAACATTAATATATACAATTCTTCAAGAAATCAGGAAGGAAATTATGTCAAACACAGAACACACAATAGAGGGACTTAAAAAGATCAGAGAAGAGCATAACAACAAATTTAACAGGCTGCAAGAATCCATAGAGAGACAGCAATCAGAAATCCAGAAGATTAACAATAAAATTTCAGAATTAGACAACTCAACAGAAAGTCATAGGAGCAGAATTGAGGCAATGGAACTCAGAATTAGTGAGACTGAAGATAAAGCACTTGGCACCAATTTATTTGAGGAAAAATCACATAAAAGGATTTAAAAAAATGAATAAACCCTAAGAATTATGTGGGACTCTATCAAGACGAATAACCTATGAGTGATTAGAGTACCACAATAGAGGGGAAAACAGAAAATACAGAGAGAATTGTTGAATATTTATTGGCACAAAACTTCCCTGATATCATGAAAGATGACAAGATAACTGTTCAACATGCTCATAGAACCCCACATAAGATAGATCCCAAAAGAAAGTCACCAAGACATATTATAATCAAACTTTCCAAAACTAAAGATAGAGAATTTTAAGAACAGCTAGGGATAAACGAAAACTCATCTACAAAGGAGAGTCAATAAGAATAAGTGCGGACTACTCAGCAGAAACCACGCAGGCAAGAAGGCAATGAGATGCCATATATAAAGCCTTGCAGGAAAAAAACTGCCAGCCAAGAATGAAATATCCAGCAAAACTGTCTCTCAAATATGATGGCAAAATTAGGGCATTTCCAGATAAACAGAAGTTTAGGGAATCCGCAAAAACCAAACCAAAATTACAAGAAATACTAAAGGGAGTCCTCCAGTTACAAAACCAATAACATCAGATAAAAACTCAAGACTAGAACACATGACAGAGCAACCAGATATCAACCCGGATAAGGAAGTCACAAAAATAAATAAAAGCTAAAACACTGAAAACAAGGAAACACAGACGTCGATATGTAAAACATAACAACAATACAAAATAGAGAGACTAAAAAATGTAGATGTAGATTTTTCATATGGAGAGGAAGTCAAGGTGATATAAACAAATAAAACACTGCTATCCACTTACAAAAATAGGGGTAAACATTAAGGTAACCTCAAAGGAAACTAATAATCCTATACGTCAAAATAAAAAACTAGAAAAACACAAAGACTTTACAAATACAAAATCAACAACAATGAAAAAGATTAAAAGAAAATACATAAAGAAAAATGACTCAGCACAGAAAATTAAGTGGAACAAAGAAACTGTAAAGCACACACACAAAAAAAACATCAAAATGACAGCACTAAAGTCATACCTATCCACAATTACGCTGAATGTAAATGGACTAAATGCACAAATAAAGAGACAGAGAATGGCAGATTGGAGAAAAAAAACACGATCCATCTATATGCTGCCTACAAGAGACACACCTTAGACTTAAAAATACAAACTAAAGCTCAAAGGACGGAAAAAAATATATCAAGCAAACAATACTCCAAAAGAGCAGGAGTGGCAATATTAATCTCTGACAAAATAGACTTTAAAGTAAAATCCACCACAAAGGATAAGGAAGGACGCTATATAATGATCAAAAGCTCAATACAGTAGTTCAGGCAAAATGGCGCTCTAGGCAGAAGCACCACGCCGTCCCTCCACAGCAAAGACCCGAAAAACTAAGCCAAACAGAGAATACAACAATCCTGAAACCCTAAAACATCAAATGAAGAGATAAAGAACTCAGCCAAGCACCAAATGGAGTGAGAAAACTGACA